AGAGTTGTAGACTCGAGTCGTGTGACTTGGACTCGAGTCGCAATTTTTGTGACTTGTGACTTTACTTGTTAAAGAGACTGATGACTTGTGACTTGACTTGGACTTGGACAAAATGACTTGTGACCTGACTTGGACTTGCAAGAAATGACTTGTTACCAACGCAAGTCAAACGTAAATATCTAGTGAAAATCAAGTTTTCCAAAATCTTTGTGTTGATCGATCGATCGTCGTGTTGTACAATTTGGGCAACGACCTTAGTACATATCAATGGCATCGACAGAATTTGTGCCTGCGTATTTTCTGACAAAGCGGGTTTTTTCGCGATGTCGTGGTAAAATTTCTGACATAAAATAACGACGCCATATTTACATATTTTGCCGTTTTGCGTGGGAAAACATGGCCACATGTGGCGGTAAAATTGAATTGACTTGCCACTCGGAAAGACTTGTGACTTGACTTGGATTTAGACAAAACAAGACGCCGACTCGGCGTTAACCTCGGGTCGGTGGATAGGGGATCGTCTGGGTAAATATTTAAAAATTGTGTAAATCACGATAGTTTAATAGTTCACTAGTATAAATGGTGAATCAGTTAATCAAAGCTCCGTTTTAATATTTTATTGATAATAATTACTGGCCCTCATCAAACCTATTGTTTTCTCTCTGCATTATATCAGCGAATGTCGAGAAGTTTTCATTTAACCGTTCTACTGAAAAACGGGAGCGGCCTTTTTGGTTGTATAGGGAAATTCCGGCTCAGGGGTAAATGTTTATACGCGTCATATTCTATGTACGCGTTAAAATAGCACACAACATTATTAAAAATAATGCAGCGTGCATCAGTGCACACAGACATTATTAGCAATAATGCATCTTCGTCACCCTGACATGTACACGCGATAACGTGAACATCCCAAGATGAGAAGGTGACAGTGCTAAAGGCCCCCCATACGGTGTCGTCTGGTGCCTGAAGCACTGTTGGAAACGGTCGCTATGAGTCTTTTCAGTTCAATTTTATAGAGAAATAGTTTCGTTTGCGCTTGTGGGATTTTATCCTAGATATACGCATGTGCAGAATACACCATAAGTTCTATTCCCGTGTTTATCCAATACGCTATTTGAGTAAACCTTATTATTAATCAGCCTAGTCCCAGGCTCTCTCTCTATTCGCTGCTTTGATATATTTAAATAAGTCTTAAAAGTTTTATGCCTGGGTGTGCTGTGCGGAACGCTTCAGCGAGAGAAGATAGCAGTTCTGAAGCACCTTTAGCGGTGACGTCACACCTAGGTCCCAGTCTCGTGTTACATCCACGTACGTTTTTTCTCGCGCTTGCTTCAGAACGACTGGGACTAGGCTGATTATTAATGATAATATGTAAACTAGAACACTATAATTGACCTCCGCTTGTGGAGATTTTAATTTAGGGCGATTAATTAAACTGAAATCTGTTCTATCACAATGCACTACAGTGCCTATGGTTATGTCTATATGCATGTCCTCACAAATGTCTAGTGTAACGTTGGATAGGTTCATTGTCATACGGTCCCGACAAGCAGCAACGTACAGTAGTCTTCCAGCCGAAAATAATTACTTTTGATTCAGGTCAGTAATTATAATAGATAACAAGTGAAAGTTGGCCGCGGTATTCCCATGCTATGCATACGAAGTATTGTGCATTATATCAACATATACTCGAGAATAGTTATCCAGCTAAACATGTATGTCAAAATTATCACATCTTCTGGTTTTAAATCAACAATTCTGACGGATTTTGTGCAAGGACAGCTTCGGGTTCTGTTTCGCTTTGGCCGATGCTTGCCGGAAGTACACTTATTTACCGGAAGTTGTCGTCTCCTCCGCAGGCCCTTCGATCTTCGACTACGCGCGCGGCTCGACACAAATGGAAAACAAGAAGAAAAAAAATAGGAGCCGAATTTAAGACCTCGGTGTCGTACCGACCCGAGGTAATGACTTGTGACTTGACTTGAACTGAGACCAAATGACTTGTGACTTGACTTGAACTGAGACCAAATGACTTGTGACTTGACTTGAACTGAGACCAAATGACTTGTGACTTGACTTGAACTGAGACCAAATGACTTGTGACTTGACTTGGACTTGCAGGAAAGGACTTGTGACTTGACTTGGACTTGCAACATAGGACTCGTTAACAACTCTGAGTTTTACTAATTAAAAGTAAATCGTGGCTTTCAGTTGCTGTCTTTAAACAACCGGCTATAAATTACTGATTGTATATTCTGATATCGCTTATATATATATTTTTCCTATTTCTAGATTAAACAAGATTTGGTCACCTTACTCAAAGACATAATTTTAGTGCGAGCTCACAAGAGAAAAACGACAATTGGTTTATTTTGAACATATCGTGGTAAAAGACAGACAAGATAAAAAGTACAAAATGTTCATACCAATAGACACACTACAAAATGTTCACATCTACTGTAAAGTTCACACATGTAAAGCAACATTTTCTTGTGCATTCAAGCGCATTCGGGAAGTGTCTATTGTACTGGTCTGGTATTTTCTAATGGTGTTCCTTGCAAACTCGTTTGTTCCAAAAGAGTGCGATTAATTCCAAAATTTTGTCTTCGATCTTCAATCGCATGTTTTTAGCCTGTTCGGTCCCTTCGTCATAAATCGATGTCTCCACAAGTATACCTGTGCCTTTTCTGAAGCAAAATGCATCATTTGAAAGCTATTGAGTGACATCATCCAGCTTTTAAATTATGTGCTTTGCTCCGTCGAAAGCTTGAACTTTTCGGAATTTTTTCTACTGAATTCCCTTAAAATTCTGTAATTATTACACAAATGAAACCCAAATTGGCGAAAGAATATTGAGAATTGTGCCTCCTATATTTATTAGATAAAACATGGCTAATTAAATAATAACGAATCTTGTGTGTACATTTCTATAAAACGTACCCGATTTCGGGTACGTTTTGAGAAGCAAAATAAAAATACAAATAAAAATAACCTCGTCCCCCAGGGCATTTTGCCTCCACGGCTGAAGTTTGGCGAAAATAACCTTGGGATCGGCTGATCATTTGCACAATCCCAATGGTCTGTTTAAAAACGCATAAGTTATCTTGTAGTATAATTTATTCAAACAAATCCAGTGCTTCAAAATTGTTTTGTCTTCAAATTATACGGCAAACTTAAGAAAATACCGAGAGTATAATGAAGATTCAGTTACGTCCTATACTTCATGCTGTGCTATGTGTTTGTCAGATTCATGCATGATATAGGAAGAATTATGCAAGCATATTGCTCTTAAAATAAAATCTTTAGATGAACAACTTGGCAAATTGCATGTTCATTACTTATTTTAATCAACAAAGATTTAATTCACATAAATCATCGTATCAAAACACCCAGATATTCTGGGTGTCATGTGACCAGCTGATCCCAGGGCCATTTTTGCCGACCTTCAGCTGATCTGTATTCTGTGCTTCAGCTGTGAAGGCATGCAAAATGCCCTGGGGACAAAGTTGAAATAAAAATAGTACTGTGTTCAATTAGGTTGTAGATGGTCAAGGTTACCAACGTAAGATACACTGATTATACTAACTATTTAGATAATACTTTTCTTAATATATTTAGAGTATATAGTAAATTTCTTATTTATATTGTAAAATATAGTTACCGACCTGGGTTTTTTCAAGTAAAATCCGTAAACCAATAAAAAAGTATCGCCTATTGAGCTGCATACTGTTGATGTCAGATTTCATTTTTACAACATGACGTACGAGGCTATCCCACCCGAAATTGGCGCGAAAACCACCTAAATTATAATGACGTAAAAAAAGTGGTAATACCGGGATAGTTTGGGAGCTTACTTGGGATTTTTACAAATTGGAAACGCTGGTTGTGATGATAAATGTGGAGATTAGCCACGTTTTTCCGAGTAGAAGTTAAATGTTTAGAAGATAAAAACATCGATTTTAAATATACTCAGTGTGTTTTTTTCTTAACTATCTTCCGACCTGTTTTTTTTTAAAGTCAAATCCGTAAACCAATAAATAAAAAAAGTCTCGCCTAAGAGTTAATAAAAATCTAACTATCTATTTGTATAGGTATAGAACAATTTTAGCTTAATGGAAGCAATTGTTGAGCAATTCTAACTTAATCAAAACAATTTTAGCTTATCTAAAACATTTGTAAATTGATAAACGTAATTGTATGAAAAAAAGATAAAAACCATCTTTCTACTGTCTGAACCAGATCGAGAACCATCGTCTAGAAATGACCCGGACGTAGCAAGTTCAACCAACTATTTTTAAGTGCTGACCTTATAGCCCGGCAATCGCGGTAAATTATAGAATTCTGCTATTCCATCAAATGAAATAAACTGTGACCTGATCGAAAATTCATTGCAACTCATTTGAATGAAATAGTAATGAGTTATATGTATTATGTAAGCCGACTAAATCATAGTTTGTCTCAACTTCATTAAGGGTTACGATTAGGTTACGATCGAGACACGTTGCGCGCGTCATTGACAAAAGTTGAAATTGCGGCCTGTGCATGTTTTCATCCCATTTAGCTCATATTTTGACCAGTTATAAGTACAATGAATGTTGAATCAGTGAATGTACATAGTATTTCACCGTTTGTTAAGGATTCGTTTATTTTGCGGACGAAGGAAAAACGCACTCACTAATTCGCGCGAAAAGTTTTGTTAAGCTATGGTTTTAATCAAATCCCTCCAAAGTATATATAAGCTTTATGGAAAGTCAAATGCCTCTATACAAACGTGATATATGACATTCCGCTTTCTGAACCTTCGATTCTAACTAGGTTGTTGTGTGTTCGAAGGGCAATATAAGTAAAAAATGAAAATGAAATCATTAAGCTACCGTACACACTTTTCTGGGTCTCGTGCGTCCTGTGAAAATATGAAGAAATAAAAACTGGGCAAAACCATTGAACTAAAAATAACTGGAACGCTACGTTCAAGCGGAAATTTGAAGCTAAATTCTACAAGGTCGTACACAGGCTTTAAAAGGCCCGTTTTAAACTGAAAAGGCCCGTTTCCCTTTCGATTTGCATCCTGCCATGAAAACGTTCAAAACGGCATGCTTCGAGCGCCCCCTGCATTGTCTCGCGAGTAAATCGCGCAGTAGAAACACGCGTGGAAGTGCGTGTCTGGGAGTCAAAACTGGCTTCATTTGGCTTCATGGGAGTCAAATTTTGGCTTCAAAATTTGCATGCGCAGTTTACTGAACGTAGCGTTCCAGTTATTTTTAGTTCAATGGGCAAAACCCCCGAGCTTAACAAAAGTTTGTGAATCGAGCATTTTTGCCGAAAATTCCGGCATCACGCAGAAACGAAGGCGATAAGTTCCCATGGTTACACCGCCCATTTCCTCGTAATGACAATTAAACAGATTTACAATTCATTGTTGCTTAAACTATTACTAGGTACGCTAAAAACTACAACGTCACTTTCGCTGCTTGACTAGGTATAAAAGAATTTTTAAAACGGTCTGTTTTGATTAAAGGAAGTTTATTGATACTTCCTTACGGTTCGAAGGCTGTCAAAAGACGTACGTATTTAAACTATAGGTAAGAGATTCTTTAATTTATGACTTGGATCTTGTTCAATTTGTTCAAAAAGCTTTATACATGAATATTCTCGTCTGTCATAAAGTGACTGTAAATGTCCCTGTTCCAAGGCTTCCTAACCTTATACCTCGTTCCAGGAAAAATTATCATTGCACGTCTTTGTACTCGTTCTAAATCGTCGGACAGATATGTAGGAAGACTTGAATGAAAAACTTCACAAGCATATTCCAGAATCGACCTGATACACGCATTATAGAAACCAATTAGATGTTTCTTATCAACACCAGCACGTCGTAATTGTTTTAAAAGATACAGTCGTTTCGAAGCCTTAAGAACAACTATTCCAATATGTTTATTCCATTTTAGGTCGTCGTCCCAGAATTTGTGCTGATTTTACGTATACAATTTCTAGTTGCCCGTTTATAATAATTGGTTCAACCATGCATTCACGTTTGGCAAACTGAATCCTCAATTCTTTGCATTTAGCTGGGTGTAGGTGTAATCTATTTTGATCAGACCAGTTCACACTCCTGTCAACAATTGGCTGAAAGGCACTGTTACCGAACCTAGGAATAATTAACAATTATTCGCCGAAGGCGAGGTGATTATCGGTGAATAAAAACCGAGACGAAGTCGTGGTGTTTATTCACGATAATCACCGAGCCTGAGGCGAATAATTGTTTTAGTATAATTTCATGGGTGATTATTTGGAAAAAAATTAAAAATGCACATTTCTTCGTCTTTTAATTAACAAAACGGCTTCGGCCGCCATTTTGAAAATCGCTTAGGTGATTATCGCGTAATAATCACCTCAACGGTAACCATGCAATCAGCGTGGAGAATTTTCAATAATCACCTATTAATTATACTAACCTCAGATATTGTAGCATATTTCCACATATCCTTTAAAGAGTCGCGCGAAAGTCGAAGGTCGTTAATCATAGCGAGAAAAAGCCACGGACCAAGTTTAGTTCCCTGTGGGACACCTGCCGGGACATGCAAAAATTTAAAGTCGGAGTAACAATCAGAATCAAGTTTCACTCGTTGAAATCTGTTACGTAAAAAATCGACTATCCAATTTAAAACTGTTGGTTCAATACCATATTTATGAAGCTTCGCAACCAAAAGATTATTATCAACCAAATCAAACGCTTTCCTGTAATCCATTAAAATAACCCTAACGGCGGAACCTGTTCCATCAGTGGCAGCCAACCATTTATGAAGCATTGATATCAGGGCAAACTTTGTATTTGATCCCGGAATAAAACCAAATTGTTTAGGGTCGATGCTATTTAAAAGCTTAATTCGGTTTTAGGTCATGTTGAATGATAAAATCTTCGGCAATTTTTGATAAGGTTGACGTCAAAGATATCCGTCTCAAATCTTTGTTAAAATCCTCAATATCTCGAGCCTTGAGAAGTGGTGCTATATCCGACATTTTCCATATATTAGGAACTTTGCATTCAAGAAATGAGGAGTTGAGAACATCCGTAACACCTGGTGCGATTATATCAGCATACGTCTTCAGCAACCAAGCCGGTAGACCATCCGGACCACCTGAGTTAGACTTGTCAATCCCCCGAAGTTTCTCTGTTACTGCAACTTGGATACATTCGTCACCTTCATAGAGAAAACACAACTCATCTGGTAATGCTGAATAGTTATTCATTATACTGATAAATGTCTCATTAATTTTATTTGCCAACTCCTGATCATTATCATCACAATTTATTCTTAAAATCGACCGGAGATTTTTTCGTTCAGTTTTCAGCAAGGTGATTATTCTAATGGTAACGGCCGAACCGTGCTTCAATTATATTCGATTATAAACGGGGTATCCTGCATAGTAGTAAGACCAATCGCGCTTTGTTATCAGTTCGACGAACAAAGGACAAAACGCAGGTTGCCTAATCGAAAGCAGTGCATATAACAAAAGAAAAAGCAATTAATCACGAAGTTGTCATAGCTTAGCTAAGATTTATTCTTACTTGATAATGATTATGAACATGTGCGTAGTTTAATGAAGTGAAATTCATCAACTTAAGTCCTGAACGGGGTTAATTTTCATTGGTTTTAGACCCAACTCTCAACGGTGAAAATATGCGATTCTGACTAACATTTTTTATCGGATTCGTATTTGCTCATTTGTTATCCATTTCGCACGAAGAACATATCAATCAGCAGCTAAAAGCCTGATCTTTCCGAATATGAAAAAATATCGGTCATACGCAGAGTAATTCGGATACAATAGCGCGCTGAAATTTGATCACTTTTTTTATACACACTGTATAACTAAGCCTTTAAAAGTGATGCTAATATGTAAGCTAATTACGCTCCTTCCGCATATACGATTTTAAATTCCCGGGAGCATAAAATCCTATGCTTAACAATAGCTTGATTTCTAAATGTCTCAATCGGTTTTTTTTTGGTCTATGGACTTTGACCAAGCACAGTATGAAAAATATAGGCAGTGCCAGTGCGGTGAATTTATAGTGCATGTGCAAACTGACACGAAGTCAACTTCTCAGATTACAATATTTTCAAAACAAATTCTTGATAAGTTGTTGACAATCTGCAACCAGGAAACATAGTGACAACTGTTATTCATTTCATTTGCAAAATGGCGTCTGGCGAGAAACAAAGTAATGCCTCTTTATATAGTACCTTATCGTCAGTTCAATACAAAGCAGGTTGTAGTTTCGTTGAAACATTAGAGCTAAAGCTTGGTGATAAAGTGTTAGACATGGGCTGCGGTACAGGGGAACTGACAACATACATCGCGAAGCAAGTGGGCGAGCTTGGTAAAGTGATTGGTGTTGATCCCGACCATGCAAGAGTTCAGCTCTCTCAGGAAAATATGAAGATGGTTTCGAACGCAAGTTTTCACGTGGGGAATAGTGAGTCTGGATTTCTAAATTATTATCAAGCCTACTTCGACCTTCATTACAGTAATCATGTTTACCATTGGCTGAGCAACGAAGAGAAAGCGGTTTATATTAAAGTGGCTTTCCAATCTCTCAAACCAGGTGGACTGATCGCCGTTCAATGCCTAGCACAACCCGACGATGACATTGATAATCGCTTGATCGAATCCGCACTCGGCAAGTCTGTGTCATCCAAGATTCATTTCGCTGAAGGGAGCTCTTCGAAAGAGTTGCTGCGTGACGTCGGGTTTACCGAGGTGGATGTAAGGATTATTCCTTCAGTAACGTATTATAGTTCGTTCAAAGTGTATGCTGAGTCGTTCCTTGCTGCTGGTTACACAGATATTGAAGAGTTACCGGATAAAAAATTGCTGGAAGAGTTTCAATTGAAGTCAATCGAGAAAGATGGGAGAGTAAAATCAAAATATAACCTGATTCAAATCAAGGGACGGAAATCGTAAACAGAACGGTTGCTTTTGATTGCTGATTTTGATGACAACTGCACGTCATGCTTGACCGGGGGACTTGGGGGGAAAATAAGCTTAATATCGTATAAGACTACGTTCACACTACTCCAGAGCGAAATCATGCCGGCAAAATTTACATGTGTTCACAATACGCCGTTACAGTTTGTTACCAATTTAATTAGCACTCATGTAAACTCAAAATATTTCAAATATAGCAAATAAATTTAAACGAAAAGCATTCGACCTCGCTGTTTTGAGACCTGAGGGTTTGCAAGCGGTACATTTGTCTTCACACAAAGTTTGTGTACTCATAAAGCCGCCAAGCGACCGTTTTCATCTCTCACAATTTCAGAGAAACCGTGCTCAAATTATGAAGATAGTTATTAATTAATATGATTTCTGTATTACTATTGGCGTATACGGGAATCAATTAAGGTTACAGGACACCCTTTTTGGCGTTTTGCGGAAAATCGCTACTGCGCGCTCAAAATGAGTCCGATTTTCATCAAATTTTCACCAAATGTTAGCCAGTGCATGCAAAATATGATAAAATTGTAAAATTGACAAACAATAAAATAATGTAAGAATTATTCAGGAAAATCTTAAGTCGCGGTACCTTTACGCTTTTGAGTTATGTCCTGCTGGTTTTAAGACATATTTAAGAAAATATCATTTTTATCACAGTAAAATAGTTGCTCTAAAAAATTGTGTTCGGAAATTTTTGTTTGTCATTCCGCTGATATGGCGATTTCTTTGACGACTGCAATATATTTCTGAATCGTTTGTGTGGATTGCTCCTTATTATAATTGTGGCTTTTCTGCGCCGTTTTCAAACCGCTTCGGCGTAGTGTGAACGTAGTCTTAATATGCCTCGTCCGCCATTTTGTGGGTGGCAAACGACAAATGAGGACAAGTTAAGGAGTGATTCGGTGAAGTAAATATAGTAACTGTGTTTCTCTTTCACTGACTTTATACTGTTTCGCTTGTTAATGTCTATTTTCCTATATTGCTGTTGCGGCCATCGAAAATCGGCAGATATGCAACGCCTAGAAAGGCTTATTTTATAGACAAAATAAACGAACAGGTCGGCCAGACCGGACATGTTAATTGATCTCTACTGCACTAGTATAACTTATATATCGAGCAAATTAATATTTATCATAAATATTTTGAAATGAGTTCATTTAGTTGAAGTATAATACATCAGCGAAAAATAAGTTTCTTACATGTTTGCATTTTCAGTAGCTATAATATTTTATGGTCTGTGCGAAAACGCGTATAATTTATTAGAGATGTTCAGGATTTGACCTCCGCTACCTTTGATTGGCTTAATATGCGCACTTGTTTGGTTAATGGGTTTCGCATCTGATTGGCGTTTGCTTATTAATGGCCCCTTGATGGGAGTAAAAATACACCCTTCCGGAAAGCAGGATTAATCTGTTTAATTAATTTGGTCAGGGTTTATTTTAAGAAAAGTTTAGAACTGCACATATTAGGGATGTTACGAAGCATCACATGTTTGACTGGGGGGTCAAAGGATATTTGACTGGGGGTCAAAGGATTTTTATCTACAGTATATTTTGTAAATTTATGTTAACGTTGCAAATTATGATAGACTCTTAATTTGTACATAGGTGGCAGAATAAAGGTGTGGTTGGGTGGGGCCAGACAAACTCGATTCCGGGTGGGGAAGCTACAGTAGGGGTGTCCCCAAAAATTTTAAATTTGGAGGCTCTGTAAGTTCTGGCAAAGATTTGTTTCGCCCAACACCCACAAAACTGTTTCAAAACATGCAACTGGGAATCATGAATACTCAATATATAATAACCTTAGGCAGCAAAGAATATTAGATTCTCCCATTCTAATCTTTTTTGGATAGCCTTCGCTCGCCCCAATTTTACCTCGTGTTCCATTACCCCAGCACGTATGTGATTTGTGAGGAAAATATGAGGGTCTGGTGGCCCTCTCCCAGAAAATATTTAGATTGTGATGCTCAATGACACTATGACAGCATTTCTAGCATCTGAATTTTGAGGTTATATTTTTGTTAATTTGGTGACTGCACATTTCAGTTTTAGGAACTGCACAAATGGGTTTGGAACTGCACATTTTGTGTAGAACTGCACATTAACATAAACCCTGAATTTGGTGATCAAAATATTGACGTCATGCAATAGTGGATTGCTCTATACAATGAGTTGTTAAATTTTCTGTCTAGAGGTTTATTGAGGTAAAATACTTTTGCTTGTTTGGTGGGTGCCAGTTTAGACGAACAGCGAAGAGTAAAAACGTACTGCGAACTTTCAGTTAATTTTGTAGATGATACAACCACCTCAATATTTTAAATAAGATCTTCGACATTTCGAGCGAAGGTGTTTCTCACGTACGAGTTTTATCATCCACAAAATTTCGCAGTTTACAGCGTGTTTCCCTTATTGTAGAGTAATTACGGTTTTCCACTGACGGGATTTTGCGCGCGGAGCGGAATTTTCTCTCTTGGTAAAAAAGGCAAAGAAAAAATCCGCTCCGCGGGCAAGATTCCTCCCAGTGAGAAACTGGATTTAAAGGGCATATGACTCGAAAATTGACGGTGTTATTTTTTAGTCTAATTTGAATGATCATTGAAAACTGTAGAGTAACTTCTTTGATAGATTTTTGTTTTCTTGCTTCGTTTTGAAGATATTTCATTTTGTATGATATGCAAAGGACCAACTTTCTACGTCACATATATGCATAATGTTTTAGCCCTAAAAGCTGTATATCTTTAATATGACTAAACACAATCAGTAGAAAACCTACAATGGTGTTGTTGTGGACAATCTCGTGCTCATCATTCATTTTGAGCGAATGTATTTGATAGTGACAAAATTATATAACATTTTAAAGTAAATCATTATGCATGCGTGACGTAGAAAGTTGGTCCTTTGCATATCATACAAAATGAAATTTCTCCAAAACGAAGCAAGAAAACAAAAATCTGTCAAAAAGTTACTCTACAGTTTTCAATTATCTTTCAAATTAGACTAAAAAATAACACCGTCAATTTTCGAATCATATGCCCTTTAAGACAAGAAGAGTGTACCGAGATGAGACTGTTATATTTGTATACATGACATGATGATTGTTATGACTATCAAATAAAGATGACTGGCCGCTACAAAAGCTGCATGCTGGTGTACCATATAACGCAAAGGACAAATTGGATAAAAGCACTGCATGTCACAGCCTAGGCAAGCACGGAATTGCACCATTTAACAAAAGATTATGCAAACTATATAAAGATTTTTATATAAAGATTTTTATATAAAGATTTGACTTATTATGCAAACGTTTTTGAAGCCATTTAAAAAACTCGCAGGTCGTGTTTTTGATTAGGTCTAAAGCCACTCGCGCTAAACCTAATGAAACATTCCTGCTCGTTTTTTAAATAGTACATAAAACACGAGGCGACAGTCGAGTGTCTTATATCTGAGAAAGCACGGACTGCGAGTGTTTTAAATGGCTTAAAAAACGACCCATCTGAT